TGTATTCAATAAAGCTGATATTCAAAGTTGATTTTTTAAGTACTTCAAGAAGCATGATTCTATATGTAACCATTCTGATTATAAAGAGTGACTGCCGTGATATAACTGAATTGTTGACTGAGGCACAAGATAATATCACCTCACTCTTTCACTCACTCACTTTTAACTCACTCTGTCACAAGGAATCCTTGTGTATCATTACCCCCTTGTGTGCTTCAGGCTAGGCTCACTCATTCACTCACTCACTTTTAAACTCACTCTGTCACAAGGTAACCTTGTGTATCATTACCCCCGTGTTTGCTTCAGGCTTGGCTCACTCATTCAGGCACTCACTTTTTAACTCACTCTGTCACAAGGTAACCTTGTGTATCATTACCCCCGTGTTTGCTTCTCGCTAGGCTCACTCATTCACTCACTCACTTTTTAACTCACTCTCTAACAAGGTAACTTTGTGTATCATTACCCCCGTGTTTGCTTCAGGCTAGGCTCACTCATTCACTCATTCACTCACTCACTTTTTATCTCACTCCGTCACAAGGTAACTTTGTGTATCATTACCCCCGTGTTTGCTTCAGGCTAGGCTCACTCATTCACTCACTCACTTTTTAACTCACTCCGTCACAAGGTAACTTTGTGTATCATTACCCCCGTGTTTGCTTCAGGCTAGGCTCACTCATTCTCTCACTCACATTTTAACTCACTCCGTCACAAGGTAACCTTGTGTATCATTACCCCCGTGTTTTCTTCAGGCTAGGCTCACTCATTCACTCACTCACTTTTTAACTCACTCCGTCACAAGGTAACTTTGTGTATCATTACCCCCGTGTTTGCTTCAGGCTAGGCTCACTCATTCACTCACTCACTTTTTAACTCACTCCGTCACAAGGTAACTTTGTGTATCATTACCCCCGTGTTTGCTTCAGGCTAGGCTCACTCATTCTCTCACTCACATTTTAACTCACTCCGTCACAAGGTAACCTTGTGTATCATTACCCCCGTGTTTTCTTCAGGCTAGGCTCACTCATTCACTCACTCACTTTTTAACTCACTCTGTCACAAGGTAACCTTGTCTATCATTACTCCCATGTTTGCTTCAGGCTAGGCTCACTCATTCAGGCACTCACTTTTTAACTCACTCTGTCACAAGGTAACCTTGTCTATCATTACTCCCATGTTTGCTTCAGGCTAGGGTCACTCATTCTCTCACTCACATTTTAACTCACTCCGTCACAAGGTAACCTTGTGTATCATTACCCCCGTGTTTGCTTCAGGCTAGGCTTACTCATTCACTCACTCACTTTTTAACTCACTCTGTCAAAAGGTAACCTTGTCTATCATTACTCCCATGTTTGCTTCAGGCTAGGCTCACTCATTCAGGCACTTACTTTTTAACTTACTCTGTCACAAGGTAACTTTGTGTATCATTACCCCCATGTTTGCTTCAGGCTAGGCTCACTCATTCACTCACTCACTTTTTAACTCACTCTGTCAAAAGGTAACCTTGTCTATCATTACTCCCATGTTTGCTTCAGGCTAGGCTCACTCATTCAGGCACTTACTTTTTAACTTACTCTGTCACAAGGTAACTTTGTGTATCATTACCCCCGTGTTTTATTCAGGCTAGGCTCACCACTCCGTCATTCATCATGGGCATACCCCCTAAAGTTGTTGCTGCCACTGTACTTCTACTCAACATAGTTGTGGGGATCGGAGTTATCTGCCTTGTTGCGACAAGAGAAAGACACGAACATAGGACGGATACGCATATCAGCCAGTCGGAAATATTCAAGCAACGTCTTGATCGGGTAAAAGTTAAATTAAAGATTATCTGAACGCTACGCCCTAACTCGCAGAATTACGCGCCCTTACTATGCCAGTATCCTCTGATTCCTAAGTTCTTCTCGATAACGTCCATGGTTAGATACATGGTACTCGTCACTCATCAATGTTAACAAGATCGTCAAACATTAAGACGACTCCGTGATATGAGTGAAATAATGTTTACAAAAGCAAGCGTTCATCAAAACCCGCGTTATCTCTATTCTGTTTCAAACATATGGTGTATATCTACATTGCAGTCCAAGACTGACATAACTGCACTGAAAAAATGGCGTATTTTAATACATGGTAATAAGCTTTGGTTTTTTGTTTAACGCCGCACTCAGCAATATTCTGGACCAGGCAATCCACTGACTGACAACACGAGCATCGATCCACGCAATTGGGATCGATGACATACATCAACCAAGTGAGCCTGATCACCCGATCCCGTTAGTCGCCTCTTACGACAAGCATAGTCGCCTTTTACGGCAAGAATAGGTTGCTGAAGACCGTTCTACCCCGGAGTTCACGGGTCCTCCGTGGTCTAGTGGTAGAGCATCCGCCCGGAGAGCGGAAGGTCCGGGGTTTGATCCCAGGCCGCGTCATACCAAAAGACGTAAAAAGATGGTACTTGTTGTAACCCTTTCTGGCGCTCGGTATTTAGGGGCTAAAACAAGGACTGGTCGGCTCGAAGTCAGTATGCTGTGTCTGAGTGTGATATTCATGTTACACTGCGGCATGGTATCTCAGTGAGCTAGCACTATAAATCGGTATCAGTCCGGACTAGTACAAGCAGCCACACAAACACTCACACGTACATGCATGCACGTCGCTAGATAAGTGCAATAATCTTGGACGCGACGTTAAACCCCATTTCACCTCACCTCACCCCACGGGTCATGGTAATAAGCATGATGGCTCTGTCAACTGATATGGGCACTGGATAATGGAACATGATACCTCAATACTTCAAACGAATTCACCAACCCGAATTTGAATGCGAGATTTGCTTAAAATCCGTTTGACAATGCATCAATACAATGCTGGTCGAAAGTTTTAAAGCAAAAACTTGATTGTGTAAGAGTTAAATTAAAGATTATATAAATGCTACGCATCAATAAAATGCCTAACTTCCCGGGCCGCTTTATCTCGATCCATACTCGTCTGTAGATCTACGCTGAACACTTGGAGAAAGCCTGGCACAAGTTCGCCACTGCAGGAACAGGTGAGCATATACCGGCACACACAGCTGCCACAAACGCCATGATTGAAATAACCATAGAGGAAAACACACAGTGTACATCATGCTATTTAAGACGGGCACGATAGAACAGGCGTCTGGGACCACACTTTTGTTTTTTCTTGTGGATTGGAGCACCCCCGAAACAGTCAGATAGGGAAACATAAAATAAAAAAAACCTACGTTTATATTTTTGGAACGTTTTCTGATTAAAAATATAAATTAATTAACGGTTATGATAAACAAAAATGCAGAAAACATTGGTGGGGGTTAATTCCACTTTTGTCACTGTTAGAGATACTGATGATACAATAAAAAATACGCCCCCCATACATGTACACACTCACCGTTTTTTAGCTTATCTTTAACGAAACTGGACCTATTTCAAGCGGATTGACCTCTATCAAATTACGTACATAAACACGGGCACGCCATATTGTAGAAAACGGTACAGACGATCGAGGACATGAGTTGCCTCCCTGGGCGCCAATAGAGCACAAAACGAAATCACTTTCTTGGATTTGAAAGTCATTTGTAATAATTTACAATTATGTACATAAATTGCTTTTGATGTACAGGATAACAATTGTTTCTCTCTTTTTCGTGCAGTAATATTTTTTGCAAATTCTTTCGTCAATTTATTTACTGTGAAAAATAATCTGAAATTTTATTTCTTTTCAATTTGTTCGTTTTGAAAGTGATACGAACTAACCGTCGCCAATGGGCCACAGTTAGCTGTGTGCTGTTGCGTCAACAAAGCGTACCTGAAATCCTTGGTCCTAGATTCGAATCCTTGTTCGCCTTGATAATATCTCTATTTTTGTCTGCAGCCTTCTCGTGTATACGTGTACAGTGAACCCCTCTTACTACATGGAGTGTCGTTCCCAGGCAATCAACAGTCATCACCAGAACGAGTAGTTTCCGAACTATCGGGATTTCACGCTCATTACAATAACGCATTCCTTTTCGCATTGACTCCATATCTTCGTCTCATTTGAAAACGCACCCACATACACACATATACACATATATGTTTAATTATGTATAGATATGTCAACATGTTGCAGACAAGGGGCAACCGAGTACATCTGCAGCCTTTCTGAATCTACTGAAACCCATCGCATATTTCGCTGGACTTGACTTCACCGGCTATACAGAAGGTATACATGGACCCATGTCATATCACAGCATGCACATGGTGCCTTATAATGAAGTTATACTTTTATCATTGCACTGTAGATTATCAATGAATGCATCATCCCCAAGTTCGTTTCTTCATATGGATACTCTGTGTGAAGCTACCTTTGTGAATAACTAAGAACCAAAAGAACTTGTATTCATACGATTTGGTTCTTTCAGGTGTTTGAAATCATATTTTACAAAGTACATGACACTGTTTTACATTTCAACCATGATGTAAAAATGAAGATGTTGTTTATGAAAATAATGTAACTTTTCCCCTATCGCAATTTCGTATTTGTGAAATTTCAAATACGTTTCAGTTACTTACATTGTTTACTTTTTTCAACCGGTGAAGTAATGACACTTATTAAGTCGATATATCAGTATGTACATATTATTATGTTTATCTAGGTCTCTGACTAACGTTCCATTTTCCAGAAATATAGGGGCGGTCGGGTAGCCTAGTGGTTAAAGAGTTCGCTCGTCACACCTAAGACACGGGTTCGATTCCCGACATGGGTACAATGTGTGAAGCCCATTTCTGGTGTTCCCCGCCGTTATATTGCTGGAATATTGATAAAAGCGGCGTAAAGCCATACTCACTCACTCCAGAAAAATGAAACCTTATAAAGAGGGAACTAAATGTGTAGTCAAAACGTGACATCGATATTACATTTCAGTAGACACAACTGAGGAAACTGCGATTAGAAACTGGGTACCTTTTGTCGGAAATGGGAGACAACTTTTGTACAACGGGATGAAGTATGAGAATGGCAGCTTCACAGTGCCCGCCACTGGAGTGTATGTCGTCTATAGCCACATCAAGTTTTACACAGAAAGAAATAATCATGACGATGCTGAGTCTGATTTTCATCATAATATAACACGGTACAGTGCACTGAAGCAAGAGGCAGAAGCAGTATTGGGGAATGTCATCAGCGAGAACAAAAACAGCATCATTGATGGAGCAAGTCTGGAGTACTCCAGTGATGTTCATGGATTGGTGCAGCTGGACGCTGGTGATCAGCTGATGGTGAAAGTATCAGGGATGAATCCACTGAGACATGATAGGGACTGGCATTATTTTGGAGTATACATGACGTGATGGTTCCCTACCGGCGATTTTACAGTTGTCGAGGTTAAGGAGGTTTAATGAACACGTGCATGTGATGCCTGCACTCTAAATGGATTCTGGGAATACACGAAAATGTCACATTGATAACAATTTGAAACCATCAAGCTTTGTGTCGCAATTAATACCCTGACACAAACACAAATGTGAATAATTGTGTGTGAGTAGTTTGTAAAAAGGCAAGAACAATTAAACTTTGGAAGCTAATAATGCATTCCGAGGCAAATGATACCTTTAATGTCTGTCTACCAGCAAATGTCCTACATATAATTGAGTTCGGCGTGTGTGCATACACGTTTGTATGTCAAACTGGCTATAAGCCGACTCTTTATTCATACCTCGTCGTTAGATGTCCCTCCTTGCTTCGTGTCAAGCACATTAAATTTTATATCATTTATATATCTTCTACAATATAATACATTTATTGTTAGACAGAATATTTCAAATACATTATTTTGTGTGTGTATAATTTAGCTTTTAAATATGTCAGCATTTGAAACGAATATGAAACTTCGGTTTATGAGATTCGACAAGTTTGACCATCAGTATGTTATGTAATGTATTCCACAGTTTCTCTACTGTCATCTTAATCAATTAATCATACTTGGTTGATAGAACCTATTACACCTTCATAGTCATTAAGATGCGTTGCACTTGCCGTTAAATAACTTCCAGTGAACTTTAAGCAACAATTTGAATGTGTAATGCTATACATACATGTATGTGTGTAAGAAGTAGATTATATCTAATTCATATGCATTTAGCATGATTGAAAAATAATTTTATCGCCCAAACTCGCCAGATAGTTCGTAAGACATAGTTAGGAGATTGTGATTTTAAACGTGTCTTGTCTTTGGTATGGACATTGTCTTGGATTAACAGCCGTTTCAATTGTTGACGATAATCTTAAACTTTCTTCAAATAAAACATATCTTCTGTAACAAGGACCCATGTGTTCAACCCGGATCTAGTGTATTACACGGTCGGGTCAGCAACGTTGGATATCTGTTTATAACGTACCCGCTACATGGACAACAATGATACTTTTGATATTGCCGTTTCGGTATTAAGTATTCGTATGTTGCAGTATTTCAATATATCGCATAATTTAGCGTGACACAATGCCACAAACACAGCATTTCGGTGTTGCACATGCGAGTCGTTAAAGGTCGGATGATAATAAATAGAGCATACAAGTTTATAGCTGACGTCAACGCGCTATAGAGTACACTATCCTGACATAACTATAGACAACTTTACATACACATCTCATCTTGCAAGAATGGAGTAATTATTGAGGACGTACAGAATAACCTAAAATGTTCTCCCATCGTGATTCAGTGCCATTTCCGAGACAATGTGAAAACAGATCTCATTTACATTGTTTGATAGTTGTATTGAATGCATGTAAAACTTCATAGTTATTTATTTGTACCTGGATTCTGGATGTCAACTAAAGAAACGGAGACACGGTAAAGCAGTGTGTTTCAGATAGAAAGTATTTGTGTTAACGCTTGTCCAGACTGCGACTTTAGACTAAAAAAGCAAATGTGTACTAACAAGGCGGGCTTCCGTGTTTGAGTGGTGATAAGGTGACTGCTGTCGCAGTGTGTTTTCATAAAATAACCTTCACATACCCTTGAGTAAACTGATCTTCTCCATTATATTATAAAATGTAATGACGTTTTTTCAATGCATGAAATAAATTCACAGGTGTATGCATATGGAAGATGTTATCAGTCCAGTGCATGACCAGAAATATTTTTTCCGCTTACTTGAGTTGCAGGCGAAGGTAAAAGAGCTCATCAATACAGGTTTTCAACACTGTTATGCTTTCCCTACATTTCTTTACAAAGGATATCGCTTTCACATGACTGTTTATAAATGCGCATGCATAGAGTACGTCCTCTGAATACCGAGTAAATTCTATAGATAGCATATTTGTGAAATTTCAAATACGCTTCAGTTACTTTCATTGTTTAACTTTTTCAACAGGTGAATTAATGAACTTATTAAGTCGATATACCAGTATGTACATATTATTATGTTTATCAAGAAAGTCACTGTCTAACGTTCCATTTTCCAGAACTATAGGGGCGGTCGGGTAGCCTAGTGGATAAAGCGTTCGCTCGTCACGCCGAACACCCGGGCTCGATTCCCGACATGGGTACAATGTGTGAAGCCCATTTTTGGTGTTCCCCGCCGTGATATTGCTGGATTATTGCTAAAAGCGGCGTAAAGCCATACTCACTCACACCAGAAAAATGAAACCTTATTAAGAGGGAACTACATGTAAATGTGTAGTAAAAACGTGACTTCGATATTACATTTCTGAGGAGACTGCAGGACGCATCCCTGGTTTGAGGGGGATATCGGACCAGACAATCAGGAAGGAAGGCTGGAATCTGACCCAGAAGACCAGTTATCGTCCCTGTTTTGCAACAGATCGATCGACAGCGACGCTTGCGACCTTACAACCTTGGAAAGTGAGAAACTGGAGACGAGTGTGGTTTAGTGATGAATCACTATTTCTTCTTCACCGGCGAGGTGTAAGACAACGTGTTTATCGTCGTCGAAATGCGCGTTTTGCCCCACATTGTGCACGTGAATTCGACAATTTCGGTAGGAGTAGTGTCATGGTGAGGGGCTAAATCCTACACCGCGACATCTGACTTGGTTGTGGTTCAGGGAAATTTGACAGCAAATCGCTACTTGATTCAAATTCTTCAACTTCACCTTCTTCCCATCAATGACCTCCAGAGGGGAAGGTTTCAACAGGACAGCGCTCCACCGCAAACAGCTCATGTCACGGTAGGCTACCTTCATAATGCATACATCAACGGCTTGCCCTGGCCGTCGAGATCTCCAGGTCACAACCCAATCGAACACCTGTGCACGTGGGATGTCACAGACGCTCCCACAACTGGCCAACGCGTTCCTAGCAGAATGGCGCAGAATTTCGCTGGACAAAATTCGTACACGTATCCAGTCAGTGCCGAGGAGATGCAGAGCCTTCATGTCTGCTCGGGGCGGTTACACGTGAATCTGAGTTCAAACTTATGGACTTATGTGATATGACAATTAACAGTTTTCAATGCCTTTGTACAGCGACAACATGCGACTAACGAGCGCCAACATTTCCTATTTGTATCTATGACAGTAAATGAAATATATGAACTTTATTTATAAGTACAATAAATTTACTAAACATCTACATGTGCGTTTCATTTTTTGAGTAAGATTTTATGCCGCTTTTAGCAATATTCCAGCAATATCACGGCGGAGGACACCAGCAATGGGCTTCACACATTGTACCCATGTCGAGAATCGAACCCGGGCCTTCGGTAACCACTAGGTTACCCGACCGTCCCTCTTTTTTTGAAGAGTGTATATATATATAGAATCATGTCTGGTTCAACAGTTTTATTTCCAGGTTTCTATTCTCAACTATTATTGTTTCACATAATAGTTGTGATATAATTGTCTCTCATTATTGACACCTGCAATAGGAAGGGGATAGTTTGAATAATTTAAATAAGTTATGCATAAAAATTAGTTGCCATATTGTTAGACAGGTGCGTAAGTTCACACAAGTGCTACACATGAAATGGGGTGAATTGTTTGTTGTGGAACGACTTGCTGGACAACACGATAACAAGGGGTCAAAATAGTTATTTGTCTGACAGATGGCACATACGTTTGACAGTTAAGGCTTTTAAAAGTGACCTCGTGCTTTAACTAGAGTTAAGGGTAAAACTATACTTTATTGCACAACACATGGGGTTGAGCAAATGTTCTTTCTTAAACATATAACGTTGGTCGGTTCTTATTACAGTTTTTGCATTTTGTTTTCATTGATTTGCTTTAGCACTGAACAGAATCATTCATGTTCCTCGACGTTTTCGCTTGGAAGCATTTCGATGCGCGACAGACAACACTAAGCCTTTCAGTTTGTAGGTGTATTGTTAGTCAATGTGTGAAGTGTAGTTCACTCTGGCAATTTTTAAAAATGTCTAAATAGTACAGTCATTTTACAAATTGTCTTCAAAATCTGTCCTTTTATTTAACAGATTGACTGACAACTATTAAGATGTTCAAAGAAGCTTAAAACATTACAATAAACTAACTATGCTAGTATAAGAAGCCAAACAATATGGAAATGGACTTCTTCTCTTTTAATCTTATCATTTTCAGTCACTGTATGATGAAATTAAACATCAAATTGTCTGGAAATCGTTATCATAATAAATGAATGGACAGATGTTTCAGTCTATTTGTAAGATAACTTAATATTTAGGCGTTTAATAAATTGCCTAAGTGAAAAGTCATTTTACACATTGGCTGTAACAGATACACACGATAAAGTAAGCAATGCTCAGGTTAAATGTTTAGTTTGTGTTACAAGTCAAAATAGTCTAAACGAAAATTGCACAATACCAAACAAGTGACTTATTTAAACTTCGTTACCATTACCGATTCTACCCCCAAAGATACCTACATTTTCTTATTATTTCGAAGACAAAACTGTTTTTCACTTTGCTGATCAATGTGACGATACGCACTTATACTATCAATAAAAGCGACAAATGCGCTTATGGTTGGCACAGCACATGTTGCGAACTAGCCGAGATTTCCGGGATATCACCCGGGTACTCAATGAAAAAAGACAATTACAGCGGCAACAACCAGTCCAGGCGAATTGCAGTGACCGTTTAATATGTATATTGGTCTTATAAGGTGACCTCTTGACAACGTAAACCGTTCGTTAGTAATTGGTTATTTTTTTCAATGCAGTTAAAAAGTTAGCCAAATGGGAAAAAATGTTGTTATTAATAATAGTTAGCTAAACAAATTCGTGACGAGGTTTGATGAATATACTTTGTAGAGGGAGTACTTTGTACATGGAAATAATCCCGATAAATGTCCTACCAATCAAACGATTGCGTTAAAAGAATTTTCACACACACACACAC